TCGAATCTCGCCAAGGCTCAAGGTTGACTCAGCCTTCCATCCTTTCTAAGGTAGGTAAATTGAGGACCCAGTTGTGGGGGCAATAAGCTGACTTTGTATGAATATACAAAAGGATGAAGGCTATTGCTGAGCACATTGTAAGCCGCCCTGAGTCTCCGGAGATAAATAAAATAAAAAAATTTTAAAAAGCGCATGGAACGCTGTTACCTTCCCACCAAAGGTGGTCCCTATTTTTCTACTTGCATTTTTTACCTGCTTTCGAACTGCTAGGTTGGCAGAAGCTGGGACAAGTAAGGGGAGCTCACCCCATTACGCGGCACTAGGGATTCGAACTGCTGAACTGCCGACCTTTCAATCGACAAGCTCAGTGTCTTAGCCACTGAGCCACCGCATCCCTTCAAGGAAGTATATCTGGCTCTAAATATCACATGTGGTCCTTACAAGCTCTGAGAAAGAGGGTATTTCATTAAGTAGGCTCTGCTTTTCAACCAATAGGAATTTTGATCTCAGGCTTTCACACCCCTCTTGGATCCTGCATCACTGCATTATCTATGTTACCATATATAGCATCTGTAGATGTAAAACGGAAGCTTATTCCTCAAAACTTACTGCCTCAGACAAACCAGTCATCAACAGGCACAACAGGTACATAGAGATAAATAACAACTACGCGCCATTCAAAAGAGACAATCAAGAAGCCAAAAAGGAAACAAAAAGATCAAAAGCCTCCCCCCACCAGCAACCAACCAGCAGAGGGTAACACCAAGATTAACACTAGGACAACAATCAAGAAGCAAACACTATCCCAAGAACTACCAACTCCAAAAAAACAAGATAATAGTAAACCATAGACTAATTAAGGAACCGCTAAGAGTAATTCCAACCAACACTGACGGAGCAAGCCACTTGTATATAAAAATAAGAGCAAAGCCCACTCCCTTCTAGCAATGATGATGTTACTTAGTTTGGTGATGAGAGGTCTGCAAGAAATCAACCAAGCCCAAAGACCACCAACAACCCCACGCATTCCTTCCATTTGAGAGTTCTTGAAATCCTACCACTAAATACAGGCAGTCCTTGACTTACAACCACAATTGAGCCCGAAATTTATGCTGCTAAGTGAGACAGTTGTTAAGTGAGTTTTGCCCCCATTTTATGGCAAAAGGGGATCACATGACCCCAGGACACTGCAACCGTCATAAATATGAGCCAAGCATTTGAATTTTGATCACATGGGCCATGGGGAATCTGCAGTGGCCATAAGTATGAAAAACAGTCGTAAGTCACTTTTTTCAGTGCTGTTGTAACTTTAAACCGTCACTCAGTGAATGGTAGTAAGTCGAGGACTATCTTAGCCCCCCCAAAAAAAAAAAAAATCAACACTTCCAAGACACCAGTAACAGTAAGAGTTGGAAGGGACCTTAGAGGTCATTTAGTCCAACCCCCTGCTCACACAGGAGACCTGTACTAGGGATTCGAACCGCCAAACTGCCGACCTTTCTGATCGATAAGCTCAGTGTCTTAGCCACTGAGCCACCTAGTCAGGCTAATATCCTGTATTCAATATTCCGTATTCTTAAACAAGCACCTTCCACATTCTTACCCAGAATTAAAATTATAGAGGACCATGAAACCGTTTTTTCCGCCGCCCAATATTGTATATAATTAAAGCACTCTTCATTCTGTAAACGACAGAAGCATAAAGTGTAATCAAGGATGAGAGATTATCATTTACTCTTCCTTTCTACAATAGTCGACGATAGCGGCAAACACTTCCCGCTTACTTCTATTGGCCAGTTATAAATTCTATAGTATAAAATGATTTGATAAGCCTGTTCATCTGCAATAATTATGACTTCAAGCATGGCATGTTCTATCAAAAAAAAAATAATACATATCCTAGGATGTATAGCTTTTGGGTGTTTTTTTTTTAATTGTTCCCCAGTGTATTTCAACATAGTGACAAAGCCATAGGCGTGTATCCAGCTGTCTTCCATTAACAAAACTGCAGATATAAAAGGGGTATCATATATTCATCAATGAATTTATGCATGGCTTATCATAACTTTTATGTACACTGAGAACTTATGCACCAAAGACAAATTCCTTGTGTGTCCAATCACACTTGGCCAATAAAAAATTCTATTTTATTCATTTACTGGTAATTAATGTTTCTTTTTTTTAAATCTTGTGTTCTGTTCAAGAGCTAAAGTCAGGACCCACAATTTCCTGCTGTTCACAATGTCACATGGGCATCTTAGTCATTAGAATTTACAGTGCATTTAATAGCCTGTAATTTAAAACACGGAGTATCTACTTTGTTGTTTTAATTACAAGTTGCTTGTTGGGAAAATTAAGTTGAGTTGATACGTTGTGAATTACTGTTGTTACATTTGTAGCTTAAGGTAATGTATACAAATACTCAAAAGTTCAACTTGCTATTGACTAGGAATTTCATTTTCACCTCCTCTTTCCCTAAAAGGTCTCACTTAGGATGAAACCTCGAACTTTCCTCTAAAAGCTGACTTAATTGCCCTGCTATTACTTTATTCCATCACTGGCAACACAGAAAATATTCAAAGGGGATTTATACACACCCAACCTTCTCCAGACAGAAGTTTATTCTTGGAACTTTAGAATAGTGGGGGGAAAATACAGAAATGGACCAGGGAAGTTTTCTAAGTCTGAAAATGCTAGACAACCAAATTGTTTGGCCTCTTAACTTCTGTTTATCATAGCGCTGCCTGCTGAGGTCATACCTTGAAAAATTGCCAACTTCACTCAAGACTTCATTAGAGATAAACATTTTTTTAAAAAAAAATATGTTCAAGTCGTAATCTGTCTGTCCTTTGGTCCTCGCAGTGTTGTCAAACAGTACATGTGTGCTCCCTTAATAGCAATGGGGTGGCAAACCCAGCTATCACTTTTGTGATTCTGAGATCACACCAGTAAAAAATCAGCAGTGCAACTATGAAGTCAGACGTGCGCAAGGGTGAGATTGGGTTGGGCACAGTTTGCCAGATGCCAGATTTCTAAAACGCAAACATTATGTTCTTGCTTAAAACAGGTTGACAATTGGACTGAAACTTGTCTATGTCTTTCCAGACCAGGGGTCTCCAACCTTGGCAACTTTAAGACTTGTTGACTTCAACTCCCAGAGAACTCTGGGAGTTGAAGTCCACAAGTCTTAAAGTTACCAAGGTTGGAGACCCGTTCCAGACAACCATTATGCTTAAGTTGGTGTACCCAACCTAAAATATGTTGCCCTCTAGACATTACTGAAATAATAAAACGAACTGAATTACAGCTTCTCTGAAAAGTCAAAACTAGTGGAAGAAGTAGCAATCACTTTCCCAAAACACGGGTTATGTTTATAACATCTTATCTAAGACTCTTTTTTTCCTCCCCTTTAGGACAACCTTAATTTTTGAAGCAAGCTCAGCAGCTACACCTTTTAATAAACTTCGTTATCACCGGCTTTTGTGTAAAGTACAAATAAAAGCTTGGTCAACAACGCTATGGAAAGTTCCATCTGCTTCCAAGGCTGCTTCTGTTCACCAGTTGTTGAAGGCCACTTCTACAGAAGCCTTCACCAACCTTGATGTCTACCAGATGTGTTGGACTTCAACTTCTCTATTTTTGTAGACCGGGAAGGCCTACAAAAGACCTTGTGCTGAAGGCCACAAGGGCTGGAGAATAGCAGCTGAGGGCCCTTGTTATCTACTGGGAAGAAGGAAGTAAATGACACACGTGATCACATCCACATGCCAATGATGCAACGTAGCTACAAGAGCCCGTGATGCAATTACATATTTTCATCCCCATACGATGTCATCATTCTGATCTCACTGCGACTGATTAGAGGCAGTGCTGAGTGAAACATCTGGGGAACACTAGAGTGAAGAAATCTCTTCCAGAAGACACAAACACCAGACCATGAGACAACCCAGGCTTCTCTGTAACACACACAAGTGACAACAATGAAACACACATCCCCCACTCCACAATACACCCCTCTAACTGAATCAGCCAAAAGAGCTAGGAATTACAAAAGTTCTAAACTCAACTTTTCTGGAGAACCAGAGGTTGGATGAATAACACGGGACAGAAGAGCAAATTGGTGATATTCAATCAACTGTGACTAAACCATGTTTTAGTATAATCCCCAAACTCTATCATTCAGGCACAAGCAACAGAGAGCCCTTAACTACCCAAAGAGGCCCAGTACACAGATTAGTAAACTCAACAGACTTTTGGTCTACCAAGGTAAGGCTGGTTCCTGCAACAAGCAAAAGGCTGGTTAGCAAACCACAATTATCCAACCCCCTAACAAGGAACCAAAACCTGCTTCGTTTAGCCACAATTTATCAAAAGCAACAGCGGGGCCCGATTCAAGCATCCTTCAAAGCCTCCCTGGCTTCCACCACAGTTTCCTGGGTTTCGCTCAACCAGGAAGCCCCGGTTGCTTCATGCAACAGGTTAGCTCACCAAGATTTCCCTTGGATTATGCTTCAAGGGAAGCCTTAGTGGCTACTGCTACCGTTTTCCTGGGTTCACACAACCAGGAAGCCCTGGTTGCTCCATGCAACTAGAAAGTTCAGGTTGGTTTAAGAGGGTTTCCCCTGGATTATGGATCAAGGGAAGCCTTAGTGGCTTCTGCCATGGTTTTCCTGGGTTCACACAACCAGGAAGCCCTGGTTGCTCCATGCAACTAGAAAGTTCAGATTGGTTTAAGAGGGTTTCCCTTGGATTATGCATCAAGGGAAGCCTTAGTGGCTTCTGCCCTGATTTCCCTGGGTTCACACAACCAGAAAACCCTGGTTGCTACTTGCAACCCTGGAAACCCGGGTTGGCTTAGCCAGGGTCTCCCTGGGACCATGCAAGCTAGGAAACGCGGGAGGACTAGCCAGAACTTGCAAAAGGGCAACTGGGCAGACTTGACCCGCTTCTCATGTAACGTCTGAACCCGCAAGCGAGGCTCCCCCGCCTTCTGCACTCACCAGCTTGGGTTTATTCTTACTCTCCTCCTCCGAGGGACGTCCCCCGCCGGTGCCACCCCGCCTCGGGGTACCCTTTCCCGGCGGGTCTTCCCCTCCGGCCCCCTGGCCCTCCATGCCGGTCCGGCGCTTTCTTTTTGCTGGCCGCCTTGTACCCGGCTCGCCCGCCCCGGCTGTCAGGGCGCTCGGGAGGCGCTTCTGCGCATGCGCCGTCGTGCCGGGAACGAGGCGGCGAAAAGTCAGGCATCCTCCCTACCACTCTGCCCAGGGCTGCGGGAGTGGGCCGCTAGGGCGCAGGCGCGGGAGCGCGCTCATTACACTGTTTTCCCCCTCTCTGCGCACGCGCGTTCTTCGGCGCTGCCGAAGCCGCCCCGTTGGGCCGCTGCCCTCACCTCAAGGCTTGGCTAAGGGGGACCCGGAAGCGCCTGTGAAGATAGGGCGCCAGAGAGAGAAGCCTGGCGGAAGTCAGGGCGTGGGGGTGGAGAGGGGAGGCAGGAATTTGAGGGGGGGGCAGCATTAGACAAACTGGGGAGGAAGAGGAAAAGCTTTCATAAACTCCCATCAGCTGGGAGGGTTTTTGTTTGTTTGTTTTTTTAGGGGAATTCATGATGAAACTGGATAGGTTTGCAATAAATGCAGTCCCATGTGAGCCGCAAGCCCATAAAATAGCATTCTTTTTTTAAAAAAAAAACAAGTTTTATTAAAAAATTTCTTTCCTCATACATATTTTATAAATAGAATGTTGACTGGGTCACATCTTATGCATATTATACATAATCATAGTTATAATTATGTATAATTATAATTATGCATAATTCCCATTTTTTTTTCAATATTCATCTCTTTTGTATAATCCTTTTATCACAAATGAAGTCATTTTTCACCATATCTTATTATATCTACTTCTGCCATGTTAGGCTTTTTCCAGGATTCTTTATCATTTTTAATTTTACATATAGATAACATCCCTTTACGCCTTATATTTCTCCATTACAAATAAGTGAAGAAAATAGTGTTCTTAAGGGCAGACACAGACATAAAATTAAAAAAAAAATTAAATGCACAAACTGTCGATAGATACTATATTAGAAATTAATACAAATGTTAAAAATATTTTGACCCCCTGAAAGGATATTGAAAACTGCCGTCCTGGACAATTCAAAAGTTGTAACTTTGTCCAATATGCAATGTAGATTTTTTTACAATGCCCCCTGACACCGACATGCACACAAAATGACTTGCTGGTCCAAAATATCCCTGCCATCAACGTGGCTTGGCATTGGGCTAGAACTATACAAAGGCATGCTTTTATTCAAGTTTTTAATCTTTTTCAATTTAAATTAATAATTTTTTCCCTTTACTAGTTCCTACATTTTTGATACAACATGAGACTTTGCTTTCAAGGCAGCCACTGTCCGTATATCAGCATTGTTACGGCAGTCATAAAACGGTGGTACTTAATCCTCATTTAATGGCTTTGCAGCGTGTAAAAACGAAGGCATCAATCACAAGGAGGGATAGCTGAATTTTGTTGGTCAACAGAGTTCCTACAAACAAGGATCATTTTGCCTTCGTTTGGAAATCCACCCCACCTTCCTGTCTAAAGGTCAGACAATTTGAGCTTTAAATGGTTCAACCTGTGCCTCGTTAATCATGTGATGTGTGAGCTTCTCATCATTGTTGGCACCAAGTTTTCTCAGAAAATGGACTGTTCTTTGGCAATAGTAATAGCACTTAGACTTATATACTGCTTCACAGTGCTTCACAGCCCTCTCTAAGCAGTTTACAGAGTCAGCCTATTGCCCCCAACCATCTGGGTCCTCATTTTTACTGACCTTGGAAGGATGGAAGGCTGAGTCAACCTTGAGCCAGTGAGGATTGAACTCCTGGCAGTGAGCTGAATTAGTCTGCATTACTGCATTCTAACCTACTGCGCCACCAGGGCTCACAAGCAATTAATGAGCCAGAATATCGTGCAAGAAGTTGTACGTGCAATATTTTGATGTACGCAGGTATGTCTTTATTACATTTCTTGGATGATTCATGGATTCAACCAGTTCCTTTCCTCCTCCCCTCACCTCCCCAGGGTACAAAAAATGCATATCGGGTTGTTCTTGCTAATACAGTTGCATAAGGTAAAGATCCAAGAAACTCATCAAAATGGTTTTCAAAATTGCCCTGAGAGCAAATGCATAAAGATCTTGAAAAATACTAATTTCCTGTTTGATTAAGCAGAACATCAATGCATGGCCAGTATGATTTCTGTTGATATGGAAACTAAAAGGCTAAATCTAAGGCTGGAAACAATACTCCCTGTGCAGATGGAAGAAATTACCGAGTACTAATTGCTTCAATTATTTTAACCCTAATTTGCAACTGTATCTGTTGCTCTCATCCTTTCCTGAGGATACATTCTGGGAAAGGAGAAATAAATTGCCTCAATTGTGTTCATACACGATACTATTATTGTAAGTCGCCTAGAGTAGCCCCACGGCAAGACAGGTGTGGCAAATACATTTAACAAACAAACAAATAAAACGGACACAGTTGTGTAGCTTTGTTCAAACATGTTACTAACCCATGGTGTTTGTTGTTGTTGTTGTTAGTTGCAAAGTCCATCGTGACCCCATAGACAACGTTCCTCCAGGCCTTCCTGTCCTCTACCATCCTCTGGAGTCCATTTAAGCTCACACCAACTGCTTCATTGACTCCATCCAGCCACCTCCTTCTCTGTCGTCCCATTCCTCTTTTGCCCTCAATCATTCCCAGCATTAAGCTTTCTCCAGTGAGTCCTCCTTTCTCATTATTTTTTTTTTTTAATTTGATTTATATGCCGCCCTTCTCCGGAGACTCAGGGCGGCTTACAATGTGCTAAGCAATTTAAGTTTCCTCTTCAGGATCTGGCCTTCTAAAGAGCAGTCAGGGTTGATCTCCTCTAGGACTGACCGGTTTGATCGCCTTGCAGTCCAAGGGACTCGCAGGAGTCTTCTCCAGCACCATTGTTCAAAGACCTCCATTCGCCCTTTCTTATGGTCCAGCCATACATTGCAACTGGCTTCACTATATGCAGGGTGGCAGGGTGATGTCTCTGCTTTTTAGTAAGCTGTCTAGATTTGCCATAACTTTCCTCCCCAGGAGCAAGCTTCTTTTAATTTCTTCTTTTTTTTATTCTTCTTCTATTTTTTTTTTTTTAATGGTTAGTTAAAAATTTAGTTTCCTGAATTGGCCCAGAAGAGTGGATCAAATTGTCCACGCTTGTGCGTCACCAAATCCACAAATTTTAGAATTATTTAAAAAACAAAAAACAAAAACTGTAAACAAAAGTTAGGTAACACATGCGTGCTAGTAGTTCCCGACTCTAGGGGGCGGTGCTCATCTCCATTTCAAAGCTGAAGAGCCAGCGCTGTCCGAAGACGTCTCCATGGTCATGTGGCCGGCATGACTAAACACCAAAGGCGCACGAAACGCTGTTACCTTCCCACCAAAGGTGGTCCCTATTTTTCTACTTGCATTTTTGATGTGTTTTCAAACTGCTAGGTTGGCAGAAGCTGGGACAAGTAAGGGGAGCTCACCCCGTTACGCGGTTAAAAATTAATTGGCAAAAGGAAAGGGAAGTGTCTCCTGGCACCGGCCAGTCCCATGGCTGCGTGCTTCTCTGGGCTTTCCATGCGAGGTCACAGAGCTACATGTTCACTCTTTTTTTGTAAGGTCAGGGAGGTGGGGGCCCTCCTCACCTCTGGATGGGGGGAATATTCCACAGGGCGGGAGGCAACAGCAGAGAATTCTCTCTTTCTGGATCCCACGATTCAGAGTTCTTTAACTGACAGGATCTGGAACCTGACTAGGTGGGATGGGCTGATGCGATGGGATGAAGCATGTCCCATAACTAGCCATGTCAGTTTTTTGTTGCTGCTGATACCTTTGGCAGGAAATCAATGTTGTTTTGGCCACTAGAGTATGTTCCATTGTGAGATCCCAGAGCCGATTTTGTTTCAAAACTAAAGTACTGGTGATCACAGCCTTCTAAAGAATTTAAATATATTGCTCAGAATAGCTTGAAAAGCAGTTGCGGCTCCTCCAAAGGTACTCCTGGATTGGGAGGCTCTTCTCACAGTCACTCATGCCCTTGTCACCTCACAGTTGGATTATTGCAACGCGCTCTACATGGGGCTACCCCTGAAAAGTGTTCGGAGACTACAGTTGATCCAGAATGCAGCCGCTCGAGCGGTCATGGGTGCACCTAGGTACTCCCACATTACACCAATCCTCTCTGAGCTGCACTGGCTTCCTATTGGTCTCCGGTCACAATTCAAGGTGTTGGTTATTGCCTTTAAAGCCCTATATGGCTTAGGGCCAGGCTATCTTCGAGACCATCTTCTACCGCATAGCTCCCAACGACCGGTAAGATCCCACAGAGTTGGCCTCCTCCGGGTCCCGTCAGCTAAACAATGTCGCCTGGCGGGCCCACGGGGAAAGGCCTTCTCTGTGGCTGCTCCGGCTCTCTGGAATCAGCTACCTCCTGAGGCCAGGACCACTCCCACCCTACTGGCCTTCTGGAAAATGGTGAAAACCTGGCTTTTCCGGCAGGCTTGGGGCCGTTGATCTCACCACTGCGATCTTGTGAGATCCGGCCATGAGCGGTGTGTATGGGTTTTTAACGTCTCTTATTGTATATTGTTCATACTGTCTTTGTTGTAAGCCGCCCAGAGTCCTCGGAGAGTTGGGCGGCATAGAAATACGAATAATAAATAAATAATAAATAATCACAGCCTTCTAAAGAAATTAAATATATTGCTCAGAATAGCTTGAAAAGCAGTGGCGGCTCCCCCAAAGGAACTCTGGCTATAGAGGAAAGAAAGGGGAAGTCTAAAAATCATAGCAAAAAAAGCATTACTTGGGCATTTTTAGGTTGCAATCCAAACGGCACTTTATGGCAGATTAAACTTCCTTAAATTCTCCGAATGTTTGGCGGGCTGAGTATGTTTAAAAAAACAACAACTTTGGGTTTTATTCTCGGGCTCTAGAAACTGTTTTGCTGCCTCTTGGAGAATTTGAAATATGTGAGACTTGCACTTCAAACTGTTATTATTCCATAACAGAACATCAGAGACTGTGGGTGCTGGTAGAAAGGTGTTGTTGACCTTAGAAACTGTCTTGCTTGTTCTTGTTCTTTACTTATCTACTCTGATACTCTTACATAGT